TAAATTCTTTTTCTACTTACATGATTTTTGGTCACCAGCTTTATAAGTTGTCTCTCTTCCCACCTCCGTCGTCTAACGGACTGTTGGCTTCGTATGGAAATCTTGGAAACATCCAGAAATCCAGTGTCTGATGTCGCAATTCACGCACTTTGTCCGGACGGTTCTTCGTTTTCCACGCGAAAAACACACACGACACCTCAACTGCGAAGTACAGGACGTCGGCCAGTGATGTGGTTTGGCCTTCTATAATCGAGATNCGAAAAACACACACGACACCTCAATTGCGAAGTACAGGAAGTCGGCCAGTGATGTGGTTTGGCCTCCTATAATCGAGATATCTCCGATAAAACGGCAGGGGTTCGACCCCTGGGCCGTTGATGGCGAGGTGGACCCCTTCCAGCATGTTCCGCACAAGAGCGAGACGAAATTCTCTGTGTGACAACAGGATGTAACTGTTCAGATCCAGGAGATGGAAAAATAGTTTATTTGTCCATTTCCAGGTTCGACGACAGATGCTATAACTGTTTGCCACAGTTTGCCCACAGCTCCACCTGAATAATTATTCACACTTCTCTTGCCATGCTGGTGTGTTGGTCCCCAGGTTGCCGGCGAAGATGATGGTTCTTCATTGAAATCAACAGCCAGTGATGTGGTTTGAGCTCCTATAATCGAGGTATCTCCAATGAAACGGCAGGGGTTCGACCCCTGGGCCGTTGAGGGCGAAGTGGACCCCTTCCAGCATGTTCCGCACAAGAGCGAGAAGAAATTCTCTGTGTGACAACAGGATGTAACTGTTCAGATCCAGGAGATGGAAAAATAGTTTATTTGTCCATTTCCAGGTTCGACGACAGATGCTATAACTGTTTGCCACAGTTTGCCCACAGCTCCACCTGAATAATTATTCACACTCCTCTTGCCATGCTGGTTCTTCATCGACTTCAATTTCGGATTCACTTTCTCCCTCGCAACTCTCAGAGTCATCGGTACAAGCAGTCTGAATCAGTGTCACTTATAAGTTGATTCTCAATTTCAGCTTCTTCCAAACACGAGGCCATGGTGGACAGCTAAGGGTCCTTTCGCACCGAATGAGTCCAGTCCAGTCACGTCAACGCCAGTCCAGTTCAGTCACGTCAACGCCAGTCCAGTCCAGTCATTAGGTTTCATACTGAATACGTCTTTGTCAGTCAGTGATCATTCTTTCTCCTGGCCAGATGGACGTGGAAATGATTGCGTTTATTATACTTAGAAGATTGCAGAGGAGGAGGGAAAGAAGGCGAAAGAAAATGTTTTGGATTCATCCTATTAACATGAAGAGAGATGCATTTGGTACTTTCAAACATCTGTTTCCAGATTTATTAAATGATCCAAGGAAATTTTATAACTACTTTCGAATGAGTAGTGAAAGATTCTATGAGCTAGAAAATATGTTGCATGACTACATAGTGAAACAAAATACAAACTACAGAGCTTCTATATCACCACAGGAACGATTAGCTGTTTATCTCAGGTGAGAATAAAGTTAATACTTGCTTATTTGTTACTCTTTATTGAGAAAAGAAGTATAAAGGCATGGCTCAAAGCTGATAATTTTGAAATTCACATGTTTGAGACAATGGCTGATTAACTACCTGCTGATCTGTCTGGATGGAGAACTCAGAATAGGCCCCAGGTGATGATGATGACCGAGAATATTGATCATATCTTGACTGAACAGAAGATGGATTGGAGGGAAACTGAACAGGGGACGCAGATGTTAATTTATGTCTCAATAATTGTATTACCTCCCCTCTGAACTCTAGATTTTCAAGGGGCCCCAGTTTCTTAATACTAGGAAGTAGACTCTTTAGAAACATGAAATCTGGATCATCATCATCTTGACGTCTAGTGGTCACCTTCTCCAGCATGTTCAGGTACATCTTATCGATGTAATCTTGTCCAGATGCTCCAGGTTTCTTCCGTTTTCTATTCTCTGAGGAAGTATCTTTCGTATTTTGTGACTCAAAATTTTCAGTAGCATTAATTTTAGAAACATTCTGGCTCTCTTCTTCTCCAGCCTCATGACTTTCTTCTTCAGTATTTTGCTGCGACTCTTCTTCCATACTTCCGCTTTCTGTGTTGGGAACGTTTCCCGTTGTTTTCTTGTGGCTGAGACTAACATCCAAAAATGAGAGCAAGGTGAAGAAGGGCCAAGTTATTTTTGAACTATCTGCGGCGGAACCAGATGGTATTGTACTCAGCTTCCTTCTTTCTCGCATATAATTACTTCTCAAATTCTGCCATTTAAATCTGGCCTCCTTATCTGAAAAGACAATACAAATAAAATATGACCCCAATGGAATGATATTTCTTTTTTCTTCTTAGGTATTTGGCCACAGGAGAAACATTTACGTCACTAAGCTACGCTTTTCGTATTGGAATAAGCACCATCCATTATATAATCACAGAAATGAATTCAGCAGTATGGAGAATTCTACAGCCGTTATGTATGCCTGTTCCTACAACACAAAGATGGAACGAAAGTGCAGAATCGTTTAATGAAGTGTGCAAAATGCCTAACTGTATTGGCAGTGTAGACGGTAAACATTGTGCAATAAAATGCCCACCCCATGCAGGTTCACAATATTATAATTACAAACATTTCCATTCTATTATTTTGATGGCAGTTGCTGATGCTCATAGTAATTTTATCATGATAGATGTTGGCGCGTATGGTCGGGACAATGACAGTACAATTTTCAATGAATCGGGAATGGGCAAAGCTTTCCTAGATGGAAGATTGAATATTCCAAATCCTAAGGAAATTCCTGGTACTGACGTAGTGATGCCATTTTATTTAGTAGGCGATGAGGCTTTCCCGCTGAGAACTAACATCATGAGACCATACGCTCGACGAGATCTTCATTATTCCAAACGCGTATTTAATTATAGATTATCAGCAGCACGTCGCACAGTGGAATGTGCTTTTGGAATACTTGTACGAAAATTTGGAATTTTCCAAACGAGTATTGCCACTAACGTTGAATTGGCAGAAGGTTCAATAAGAAGTGCATGTGTACTACATAATTATATACGTCAAAGAGGAAATGACAATGACTCTATCTTAGAAAATAACTTTCTGGAAGAAAATGTTAATATTCCTCAGTTAAGATCTCTAGCGCCTACATCACATCACAGAGGAAGTATTGAAGCAGTAAAAATTAGAGACAAATTGAAGGATTATTTTCTCTCTCCTGTCGGTTCTGTGCCTTGGCAAGATGGCAAATGTGCGTAATTATGTGCAGTCTGTCACTTTTAATATTTACGTAGGTTGTAATAATATTATTATTTTAACTACCTGACAAATTATACTACTACAACCAACAATTGGTTCACAAGTTCATAAATTTTTGTACATGAAATAATATAAATAAAAAGTTCGTACCAGTTGTTTGTAATTCTTCTGCTATGCTTCTCCAAACACTAGCAATGTAGTCTTTATTTCGATGGTTTGGGTCCTTTGTGTCATATATTTCACGTCTACTTCTCACTAGAATTATCAGTTTCTCGACATCCATATTACAACAATATGTTACACATGAAACCGATTAAAGCGCGTGTGACTTATGAGCGAGACGCACGAAGACTGGCAAGAAATTCAACCGGATGAGTCCTGGCCAGTCATGACTGGACTGGCCAGGACTGGACTGGGCAAGACGCGTGCAGTGTGAAAGAGATTAGGACATTTCCTTGTGTTGCTATGTGAAGCCAGTCAGATGAGTCAACGTGAGTCCGACGCGACTGGACGTGACTGGCTCAGACGGGCCCGGTGCGAAATCAGCCTAAACACAACGCTAGCCTTGAAAGTTCTGACACTGCTTGGCTATATTTCAAAACAGACTACTTCTTGTTTGGCTATACAAGATAAAACAGTCAGTGTTTCTGCGAACGAGTAGACATCGCCCACACTCGTTCATACCGTAAGGAACCTACGAACTGGAGATTGATGAACGAAGTGTAAACATCTGACTTTGTAGCAACACAAGCCATAGTTAGAGCATGATGTCACCAGCAGGCATTCAGACTGCAGAAATGTTTTGTGCAGGAACTATATGCATTTTTGTGCACAGACGTTCAAAATTGAGGGGAAAAATTTTTGTTGGCATCAGTGTAAAAATTTTTAGACATTTTAAAATCGGTAAATTACAATAACTGATTCTATATTCTTTCTAGATAAAAGAAGCGTTTATTTCGTTCATTTATCACAAAAATTGTAGAAATCACAGCATTTTGAGTAACATGATTACAATTTTTATTACTCTACAGTGGCGGGCATTTAAATTAACTCCGTCCCTCTACCACTACCGGAATTTAAATGGCCGTCTCTTAAAGGTTAATGGAGAGTGAGTAAATGAATGAATGTCTGTTTTAGTACATGATGCAATGTAGCACCTACACCATGTTTGTAATGTTTACTGATGAATTATTTCAAGGTTTTGAGACAAAGTGTAATACTCTTACAGGGCTATGGTATGGGCAGGAAGAGTTGGGTTATCTTGTACTACTGATTCTGCTAGAATACTGCACAATAAATTTCTGTGCAGCAAACATTTCTCTGAAAGTGATTTCACTACAGCTGAAAGGGTACACCTTAACAGAGTTGCAGTTCCATATGGCAGATTCTGCTGCACAGTCACTCCCACAACCTCATGATCCTTCATTACACACCCCTTCCTTTGATCCCTTCCCTTCAGGTTTATATTCTGTACATGACCTTAATGTCCTACCGCCCACCAGAATCTACAGCAAGACACTGGTGCCCTTTGCTGTAGCACCTGTTCCTATCCATGCAGACAGTCCTTCCACTTCCTTTCAAATGTCTGCAATCCGTTCATCACCAACAGCAGGCAACACTTCTTCAGTGAAAGGAACCTCATATCTCTTAGGCTCTGAATATATATAAGCTTCTAAGTTCTGAAAGAACTTAATTTGGCTTCGCTTTCTGAATTGACACCGAGGAAAAGGAAATTATATGAACAAATTCGGAAGAAGGAGAGTGCACTCTGCAAACTGAAAAAGAAATACAAAGGAAAGAAGTTGAAAGATCTCTGTGATGAGGAAGTGATCCACTTATGGAGAGATTTTCATCTTCTCTCAGTGTAGAGGCTGCCAGATTATTGGCAGCAATTATTAGGAACACCAGGCAGACCTCAGGGAAGGAGGTGGGATTTCGAAGAGAAAGTGATGGCTCTGTCTCTCCTTAAGCGTAGTCCCAAATCCTATATCTTTCTCCGAACACTACTCCTCCTCACATCCGGACGATCCTTGCAGTCTCTCCTTAATACTGTTCCATTTAGGACAGGCATCAATGCTCATGTGTTTCCTGCACTTGAAAAGTGTCTGCAGAAAATATCTGGTAGATCGATATTGTTGTCTCATGTTTGATGAAATGTCAATCAGAGAGAACTTGCATTTCAATCAGAAGTTTGACTGTATTGAGGGTTTTGAGGATTGTGAAGTTAGGGCAGGACTTGCAGCACTGCAAATCATGCTCTGCTCTTCATGATCCGTGGCCTGCGGAGAAAGTAGAAGCAGCCAGTGCCTTACTACTTTACTCATGGAAGCACAAAGGCAGAGATGACTGTGCAATACTTGAAGGAGGTTCTTGACGCCTGTCAGAATGCTGGCCTGAAGGTGGTTGCCACTGTGTGTGACATGGGTGCCAACAATGTCAAGGCCTTGAAACTGTTGGGTGTTTCCAAAAGGAAACCACTCTTCAGATTTCGCAATCAAGAAATTGCAACAGTGTATAATCCACCCCACCTTCTGAAGTGCACCCGGAACCTTTTCCTGAAATATGATGTGCAGTTGAAATGTGAGCATGTGGGGACCCAACTTCATGTTACTGCTAAGTGGGACCACATACTGAAACTGTATGAAATCGACAAACAAGGACCGTTTCGCCTGTTGTACAGGCTGACAGACACCCACCTGAACCCCACAGCACAGAGCTCGATGAATGTGCGCTTAGCTGCACAGGTCATGAGCCATACTGTTGCAGCAAGCCTCAATGCTCTGGTGGCTACAGGTAAGCACTATATGTTTCTTTTATGAAAGAAGTGACTAATAATGAGGACTAGTTTCCAAAGTTACTGCCTCAGAACCAAGTTGTAATCAAACAAACGTCATTATCATCTGACTTGAATTTACTTTGAAACTGTATATCAATATACAAGTTATGTAGAATATGACACAAATAGTGTTTTTAGGAATTTGATTGTAAGTGTATATCTGTGTAGCGTACTGAAGTCATTTCTTTCCTTTTTTTTAGATATACACAACTTTGCAAAACGGGCCAGTAAATATTTGAAACAAAAGGTAAGTTTCAGAAAAGCATCAAAGAAATTCCCACTCCTTAACATGAAATTACTTTTCCTTACGCTCTTAGGAGGAGCGTGTCTTTCCAGGACAACTTACATGCAACAGACTACCTACAGTCCTCAGTTTTTGTTTTTTCTTTTCTTGTCCTAGAACCGAATGCTTTTCCGCATATGATGTTGACATCCATGTTTCGGTTATCACACTCGTGAGAAATCAGAACAGAAAGCGCTGATTCACATATTAATGACTTTAATTAACCGCAGTAGTTTGTTACATGCAGTTGAATAGTGTTATAGTTTCTTAGATTACCCGGCACTGCCGACATGCAAGAAGTCAGGTTATTGTTAATGGTGGAACATGGTGTGTGATGAGAATCAACTTTTCTTAATTTTTACTATTTCACTTAGCACTCTGAACCCTGATATGAGGCTCGAATTGGAATGCGACTATGTGAATAATATATGTCTGCTGCGGTAATCTGACTTCCGCAAACCAAAAGGAAGTTTACGGCTTGTCTGCATGTAATTTTATTGTTGGCTCATAGCTTTCAACATTCAGGTGCAAGAAATCAAATCTGCCTGGCCTATGCTCAATGCTGCCGATATGTGTCATCATGGACAAGTACTGTGTCATCACTACTTAGACCAGCTCTTGTCCTCATGAAGCAAGCTCCTAACAAAAGACGAAACAGCACAGCCAGCAAAGCTCTGTTCAAAACCAAAAGGTCAGTACAGCTCAAACAGGCTGGAGGCAGGATGAGTGATGAATAATGGATTGAAGATATAATGATGGCCTAAACCAGGTACTACTCTGCCATTTTCCAGGAAGGACTGTTAGGACAGCTTGAATCCCAGCCAATTTTGTAAGTGTGCAATTTCCAGACATAATTCCAGAGTGTCACTGCTGCACGAAACTGCTCAGTAAAAGTGTTAAGTTTGACAGTAAGCTCATTATGGTATTACACAATAGGGCTAGAGTTAAAAATTTATTTCACATTGCTGTATAGGAATAATATTTCAAGTATGTTCTGTAAAATATACTGTGGTTTGTACTTCAATAATCCCTTAATTAAAATGTTTTGCAATATTTTGTCAGTTTCTGTCCAGTAGTTTGTTGGTTTTTTAAAAGTGTTTCAAAATTGTACTTTTACACTGTATATGGGATAAACTGTAGCTTACATTATTGTATTTCAGTATGGATTTAAAATGTCATAATTTCAAGAACTGAATTCACAAATATGAAACTTAATGCATGGTTTCACAACAGCCGTACTAACGTAAGGGCCCATATGGCAGACAGTGGGAAGTGGAATTGTAAGAAGTGCAAATGGGACAGGCTTCGACAACTGGAGGAGAAACTAGAAAACACCCTGCAACAAACTGAAGAACTAAAACGGAGGAATATGGGGCTGCAAGATAAGTTATGAGGGGTGGTAGCCAGAGGCGAGCTTGGCAGGCGGGATACGATGTAGAGTTCTTAGTGGTGGGTGACACGATTATACGCAAGGTGGAATCTGAACATATGGGGGTACAGTGCTTTCCTGAAATCAGAAGCGAGCAACTCTGAGTCATTCAATGCAGAGACCTAGGGAACCCTGATACTCTCGTCACTCATGTAGGCACAAACGATTTAAGACGAACTGCAATCTGGAGCATGTGAGGGGCAATGTGTATGCTCTAGTGAACAAGGCAAGAACCAAGTTTCCTCAATCCAGATTAGTCCTGTGTCATGGCGGCGCAACGAAGCATTACACAACATGCGTGACTGGATAGCAAAGACACTAGGAGTTATGTTTTGTAATCGATTGGCCAACCTCAGATTGGTTTGATTTAGTAGAATGCTTTTTGTTATTATTATTTTGAAATAGTTTTACAATCTACTCAATATACATAAATGGAGTAATTAGTAAAAGGGATGGGCGCATGTAATATTGAAGCAGATATCATCCTCCAATGATTCTCTGGTGCTTATCTAATGAGATCCTCTGGCCACATTCTATTTAGTCTTCTTTCTATTGCTGGTTGATTGAAGAGGTTTCTTATTAGATGGTTGTTGCTCTGAGTGGTCCGGCT